TGTAGATTGACTAATATGTAATGCTCAGAGATAGAAAAATCTACTTTAGACTGTTTTAAAGAAGAGAGCTGTGGTTCAGACTGTGGTCATTTAGCCCAAATACCTAAAGCAGAATTCCCTTCTATCTCCTTCAGAACACAAGTGCCCACAAGCACACTACCTCCCGGGGAAGCCTGGGTCTGGCCTAGAGCTTTTCTCATAGAGCAGATTTTTATCTAAGGAAATAGTAACTACTGGCCTGGGCACGTGAGGTAAGTTAGAGTCAGATGGTCCACATAACACTGCTCAAACAGAACAGGTCCACAGTATAAGGAAGACAAGTTTGGCTTCAGACAATAGCAACTCTTTTATTAGGTTAGTGCAAAAGTAATTATGAGTTTTGCCATTAAAAGTAGCACCAAGAAACTGCAATTACTTTTGCACCAACCTAATACTTCTCTCATTTTGTACATCTTAAAATCATATAACTGGGTAGTATCTTGGGGACATTGGGATCTCAGATCTGGGGCTTATTTATCCCAGAGCTAACCATCCTCAACGTGGTGCTCATGGAGAAATATTGTGAGTTTCCATAGTCATTTCCACATCACACATCTCAACAGAGAAATAAGAAAATCCACGTGGAAAATCTAGCAGACCTACAAGCGAGAGCCAGGTGGGAGCCTCTTCACCTGCCCCTAAAACTAGTTTATGTGCATGTGACAAAGCGGGCGTTTTTATTGTGTGGAGACTAAAACAAACAGAAAATTATGAAGTGCACAAAAGGATTTTCCACCCTGCTGAACCTTGCAAAGTGTTCACAGTTGAGTTCCCCCTTTTGAATTCATTATCTCAAGGCAGCATTTGGTTTGGAAAGCCGGGGCAGCTGAGCTGAAAATGTGTATTGTTATTACTTAAAGTTTCTGAGAATAACTTGCACAGGCTGCAGTGTTCGGAAACAGCTTTGTTCTTTGCAAATTCTTTGTCAATGAACTCTGTCTCTTATGTAAGTCATTGGCAAATAGGAGAGCCTATGTAAAATATTGATTTAGGGCATATTTCTAATCATTTGCTTTACTAGTGTGTATTTTGGAAATACATACTAGCTGAATGTAGCTGAAGTGGTTTATTAGTACTTTCCCTAAACTTGTATCACTTTCGTGTTCACATTCTTTAATTTGAAATATTTTAACCAGGGGTGAATATTTAGATCACATCCACAACAAGGCTTTACACAGTCACTCTTCTTTCAGGCATTTTCCTTATAGTCCCACAGACGTATCATTTCTGCTTCTGCCTTCTGTGATTTTCCTTGCATAGTTTTCTTTTCCCTGCTTGTCATTCAGTGTGTACATTTCTGCACCTTCTCTAAGATGTATGAAACCACCAAAGCCTATAGAGACCTTTCTTTCCCCGACTCCCTATGACAGCTGTTTTCTGTTCTATTAATCTGACAGCTAATGAGGTGGTGCTTCATGACATCTCTTCTATTTTTAATCTTGAACAACAATTTAAAACTCTGATTATGATTTAACTTTTTACCTGTTTGTATAATGCCTCTCTGAGTAGACTGAGCACTCCTTCAGATGGAGGGCTACCTGTTTCCCCCATTTAGTGCCCATCCAAGCATCAAATGCTTGCTGATTTCAAGCCCCAGTTTGTGAATGGTCTCAACAAGAGTTTATTTCATGGGGCTGCGAAGTGAGGGAGTTATTGAAAAGCAGAAATAAATTGCTGTTAATTGCTGCTGTTTGCGATTTGTTATTGGAAGTAGCAAGGTAAATTTTAGTGCGCATGTATAATACAATTGTATTGATTGGACTGTCTTTTTCAAAGTTATTGGTGCAATTAAATTGACCTTTCACTGGTACAGAAATAACTTGTTTAATGAAAACTGAACAAATGAATTGGGCATAACTTGAACACAGAAAATCTTCAGAGCATTGGATGTAGGTCTTTGTTAAATCACTACAAAGGCCAAGTATGGACTCATTAGGTAGTTGTGCTCAAATGAGTAAATAGTTCTTAGGATGCCCAAGCCGGAAGCGAGGTGGTGGTGATGTCATAATCCCACACACAGGACATGACATAAATATGATCTTGCTCTCTGCACCCACTGAGCATTGAGGGATTCTCTTGGGTTCATTAGGCATGATGCTAGATCTAGAATCGCTTTGCAAAAAGTAAGTACTGTGCCAGGGAAAGTGTTACTCAGGCACCACTCCTGGCATCTGCATGTATTCCCTAGCCTTAGCTCCAGGCCACATTAACTGATTAAGTGCAGAATCTCTGAGACTCTAACACACCAGGTTGTCTAAGATAAGAACCAAGGCCTATGGTACCTTAGTATGTCCTCGGAAATAAAATTCCACTTATCTCTGCCCAGGATCTTACATTCCAAATGGGAAATATTTCACTGGACACATCAGATTTTTGGTGACCATCTCCTCCTTGATAGAATATCATTTAGTGAGTTTTATACTGTGCATTGCACCGTGAGGCAACGAAGAAGTGGTGAAAATGAGAAAGAATCAATATAAAGGGGCACATTGCGAGGGAAGGACGGAGGAAGCTTTAAGATCTTGATGACATTCAAAAGCTCTTCTGAAGCTGCCCACGTTTCAAATAATGAAGATGAGAGATGAGAATGAGGTGCATGAGCTGATGCCTGCTGATGTTCAATTGGGACAAGAATATTAAATTGGGAAGTGTTGGACTCCCTGTTGTCAGTATCACTCCAAATAACTGTGTTTGCTTTACCACTTTGGCCAGTATATTTAAACCTCTCTTCCCTGGCCTGTGAAAGGAGAAGACTGGAGCAACTGACCTCTCAGACATCTTCAAGCCTTACCGTTCTCTGTAATCTATTATCCCAGACCTTCTGTGTGAGCCTCCCCCACCTGACTGACTTGAAACTTATTGCTGACCACCACTTACAGACCTCAAAGGATGTCAGCGAGCCAGTCCAGTGGCTTATCTCGAACAAGTCTATCCTTTTGGACTGGGGAGCTGGTGCCATGTCTTCTGCTTCTCTCTCTCTGTCTCTTTTTTTTTTTTTTTATTTCTTTTTTTTGAGACTGAGTCTCGCTCTGTCACCCAGGCTGGAGTGCAATGGCGCGATCTCGGCTCACTGCAGCCTCCGCCTCCCAGGTTCAAGTGATTCTCCCTTCCTCAGCCTCCAGAGTAGCTGGGATTATAGACGCACCCCCCACCACACCAGACTAATTTTTTATTTTTAGTAGAGATGGATTTCGCCATGTTAGCCAGGTCTAACGTGGTCTAAAACTCCTGACCTCAGGTGATCTGCCCACCCCAGCCTCCCAAAGTGTTGGGATTACAGACATGAGCCACTGTGCCCGGCCCCCGCTCTCTCTTTTTACTTTTTCTAATCAGAATCTTCTACCTCCTCCAAACTTCTTTTTCCATTCTTCATTTTTAGAATTCTCTGTGCTGTCTTTCCTGGGTTGTTTATGTCCAACTTCCAGATCCCTTCTAAATGAATTTTCTTTGGCATGTACAAAACACTCACCCATAAGCTTGTGTAACTTAGACTGTGCAGGGGGATATCCAGGATTTAATAAGGCCTGAAGTCTGGAGGAAAATGAAATTAGAGGAACTAAATAGATTCTCATATTGGTTGGATACCAGAAACCCAGAATAAATATCCCAAGTGGTCTTACTCTGTAGGTTATTGAAATCTAGAATTTCTCACTGAAGCAATCTGCATGTTAGAATTCTAAAAGCCCTTTAAAATTGGCACCCCTACAATTTCTTTTTCCTTTTGTTTTAATGGGGACAGGGGGCTCATTTTTCTGGACTTAGAACTACATAATGGAAACTGTGGCTATGCTTGTGACCTATGTCTTTGAGGTTTGGACTAGCAAATGGTTGCCCCTGTCTGCCTCTATTATTTAAGAGGATCTCTCACCATTCCTGTCATAGCCTCTTTTATGCCTGGCCTACTGAGCAGAGGTTCTTCCTTCAGTCGGTTAGCAAGCTTTTGTCAAGATAGATGGAGTTTTAGACTTACTCTGAAGCGCGGTCCCTCTCCATCTGCTTTGGAAACAGCTCACAAATTCTTCTTGTTGTTTCAGATGTGATCATCAATCTCCTGCCAGAGGAAATGAAGAGCTGTTATTTGTTTATTGGGCAGGAGAGATTCCAGATTTTTGACCCCTAATTCATCCTCTACTCTTTGTGGTTTGGCTGTAACGTCTAACTAAGGGTTTTCAGGGTCTTCTTCTATTTCTTCAGATTCGTTGCATTACAAATTGTTTTATTCCATGAGTGTCTCATTTCATCATAGTTATTAAAAACAAACACAGCCACTTTGTAGCCCAGTGTCGTCTGCCATCTTCCAACCACTTGCTGCTTCCCTGGAGGGTCTGTCTCTCAGCAGCTACCCGTTGGATCATTGAGGCCTTAACCCAGGAGAGGTGCCCTCCCTCTCGGAGGTGCTGGTTGTAATTGGCTGGTCCGCTTGCCACCATGGGTGGTAGAAAATGTGTCTCTAGGACATAAAATATTGGTCCCCAGCATGTAGAAAAAGAGATAGCCAAAGGCCCAGTTTAGTAGGGAAGCAATGAACTTTAATTGTTTTTTTTAATTATTCAATAAGTTAAGACAATGTTTGAACTTTGGATCTTACTAGCATTACTACTGATGAGAAATAACAGAGGTGAAGGAGGATTGTTTGATAAAAGCGAAAATCCGTGTAATTTACATGCTGAACGTTGACTTGATTGCACAGTCAGGTGGCAGAGCCTAATTTTCTTTTCTGATCAGGGTTTTAGCAGAAAGCCTGCAGTGCCCTTCTGTCCTCCATCATCACCAGGCTCTCCCAGCAGAGACGTTGATGATGTAGTTTCATTTCCACAGCATGCTTTTGTTTCTACACAGAGTCACCTGGAAGGCAAGACAAACCAAAACACAAAGAGAAGGTCAGAGTCCATGTTTGACACTGTGATTCTCCTTCTTTTATTTATCCTTCTTCTAACCATTATGACAGAGTTCGAAAGAACCTGCCTGAGACTAGCTCCTCTTTGCATAGGGCATTCAGGTGGATTACTCACGATCACAGAGCTTTTTATTGACAGATGGAGAGCCAGGATTCAAGCCTCCTTACTTTTCTTCCAAGTTTTCTCCCCAGTATTGCTTTGCAATGGGAGCTTTTAAGGAATGAAATCAAACACTGGCATAGTGTTTTCCAAGGGGTTAATCATGTAATCGTTGTTACCACTTACTGAGCATGTACTTTGTGCCTGGCACTTTTTTTTTTTTTTTTTGAGACAGAGTCTCCCTCTTGCCAGGCTGAAATGCAGTGGCGCGATCCCGGCTCACTGCAACTTCTGTTTTCCGGTTTCAAGCAATTCTCCTGCCTCAGCCTTCCGAGTAGCTGGGACTGTGGACACTCACCACCACACCCGGCTAATTTTTTGTACTTTCAGTAGAGATGGGGTTTCACCATGTTGGCCAGGATGGTCTTGATCTCTTGACCTCATGATCCACCCGCCTCAGCCTCCCAAAGTGCTGGGATTAAAGGCGTGAGCCACCATGCCCGGCCATGCCTGGCACTTTTCTAAAGGTTGAAGATAGTTTTAACTTAATCTTCACCAACAAACTACTGCCATTATTATCTTCATTAAAGAAGAAGGAGAAGAAGAAGGAGAAGGAGGAGGGGAAGGGGGAGGGGAGAGAGAGGGGGAGAGGAGATCATTATATTTATAGCTTAATAATGTTACTTCTGACATCTTGCTTCATGCTATTTTTTTTATATTTGCTTAATGTTTTCCTTCTCTTCTTTTTCTATTATTTTCTGAAGCAATTTGCAACTCATATTTAACTGATTATGAGTGGAAGGAGTTGAACCATGTTCCAGCCCCTCCTCCCCTGTATACAGCATGGAGTCATTTGCCTGTTTCTTTGCCTCGCCCTCTTTCTTAGGCCCTGCGCTTTTAACTTGAACCTCAAAATACTTTTTACAACTATGTTATTTCTGACACATGATACACATACACATTTGTAGATAGATACATGGATGGGGAGAGAGAGAGAGAGAGAGAGTGTGTGTGTGTGTGTGTGTGTGTGTGTGTGTGCCTTGTTATAAGTTTGTGACATGTTAATTTGAATTTCTGTAAGAAATCAACGTGGAGATGCCCAGGAGACCAGCAGCTCAGGGAGCTCAGGGGTCAAGCCTGGTCATAGATCTTCCTTCAGGAGTTATTAGCATATAATGAGGAGTTATTAGCATATGATCCATATGAGGCTGCAGAGATGTTTCAGAGAGTAAATACAAAGATAGAAGATATGCAGGCTGAGGATGGGAGTCTAGTGAACACCAGCATTTTAGAGAACTGTGATAGTGAATGAGAAAAAGGAGTCAGAGAAGTGAGAAGAAAATTAAGAGAAAGGGGCCATACCATTCAATGGAGCAGAGTGTTCCAGGAAGGTGGAATGTTTTAGAGAACATACCTGGAGACTGTCCCCTGGATCTGATGCTGTGGGCCAGTGGGGAGGTTAGTAAATATTATTCCATGGGGATAATGAACATGCAGGACACAGGGCTGTGGCTGAGGAGATGAAAGGTTCAGAGGCAGCCTGCTCCGTCTCTCTATGCTGAGCTTCTGCTTCAGGCTCTAGCACTATTTAGTGACTTTAGGCAATACTTTATCTTTCTGAACCTCAGTTTCTTAAGCTATACAATTTAGGGAAATAGATTACAGATGTCTAAATACACTCCAATTCTAATTCTATGCGTACTATGATACTGGTAGATATTAAGCTCTCCCCAGACACCCACAACAAATACGTCAGGGGGAAGCATTAACTCCAGAGTAGTCCTCAACCTATGGGCCAAATGAGTCTGAAGAAAAGTCAAATATCTGACTTCCTGAATATTGTTGTTGTTATCTATACCATTTTATACTTAAATTTTAGTCATGAGTGATTAGTGTGCCCTTTTAATATCTCTTCAATGGTGTTTCTTCCCATATGATTGTGGACAATTTTAAGTCAGTCCTTAGTAGCATGGATACATGGGCTATTAGAAGCCAGCTCTTGGTGTCCATCTAGTCCATGTACCAACTACGTCTGGCACCTGGTATGTTCCTTAAAGTTTGCATCTTGTTTTTTCCTTTGAAATACCATTTTTTAAATGATGGTATTTAAAGCAACAATTGAATTGCTACCACGGCGGGAGTTTGCTCAAATAATTCTAAGTCTTGACATTCCTTCCTGGTTTAATGTGCTACCCCTCCATCATGGGCCTCTGTTCAGAAGCCCCCACCAACTTCCCAGCTTGAAAAATGGAAATTCGTGCAAAGAGAGGCACCTTAACAGAACCCTCCTAAACTGTGTAATGAAAAAGGAAGGCTCTAGCGTGCTCCCATAGAACTGGTTAGGGTGATGACTCCCATTATGTTATAAAGAAAGCCAACCAAGCCAAAGGTCCTAACTTTCTACAGCTGATACAACTGCTCCTAAAACTAGCCAAGATCTGATCCATTTGGCTCTGCCTCTCTTTGTTATTGAGTGATTGTTCATTTCTGAATTATTGGAAGGCTAAAAGCAAATATAGGAAAAAGAAAATGGCAGATAGCAAAACCTGCTTTGGGCCCCATATTAATCCAGTTGCCCTAGAAGTACTACCTATAAACACTTAACGGTCATTGAAGCTAATGGATTTTCCCCTTTCTGGTGGATTCTAGCCAAGATTTACCAGAAAATTGCCTTCACATTTTTAAACCCGTATTCTATTAATAAACTTGTAGATAAAATGTCAGCGTTTTAAATAGCAGCAGTTTTAGTCATTTTAATTAATTTTCAGTCAAAAGAAGTTGATTTAATTCACAGTATTGCTGTCAAATTATTAAATTTTGTTTGTATAATAATCAAACTTTTCAAAGTTTGATTATTTTTCTAGAGTCAGTTCCTCTGGGTAGCTTCAGCACGTTGCTTGGACCTCTACTGTAATACTTAAAACATCCTACTAGACATTACAGTAAGTTATTTACATCTCTGTATGCCTCATTATTTTGGGAGCTCCTGAAGGGAAAGGGTTAAGTCTTATATATTTATTTACTGGCCCTCTTAATCTTTGGAACAGAACCTTGTGCATAGTTACTGCTCAATAAATATTTTCTGGCTTGCTAAACTCTGAGGAGGGGTTAGTATTAAGAAGATAATTTAATTACTTACTCATTTGGCTATATGCCTTTACTTTTCTGTTGAGCAGCACCATTTATTCCTTGCTTTGTGAGGTGCTAGCTAGAATCTTTGCTGTGTAATGCTTAGTTCTTTAGAAATTCAAAGTTCTTGGCTCAGCCTCTTGGGTTGTCCTGCCTTTTATAGATGCAGTAAATTTGATCACCATCAAGGGCTGTTAAACAACATGCAGTGATAAAAATAGTTCCCTTTGCTGACATTAGGTGTTTTCTAAAACAGCTCGATAAATTCTGGTCAACAGAAACTCTTTGTGACTTCAAAAGTCGGAAAGTGAACTGTTGACACGGATCTGGGCAGATGGAAAATAAATTGACCGGTAGTTGCTGAGAAATATGTCCTAGGTGTTTTTTACCATAACTAGTGGTTGACTGTGCCTTCACTCGATGATGTTATAATAGAAGTTATGCAAGCTCACGAGGTTAGAAGAGGACTTGTAGGAGGCGACTTGTTTGCAAGGTGATGTATCTGCAGGAGGCGTAATGGGTAGGGTGAGTGGGAGTGGTACGTTGGTGAGTTTTGCAAAAAGCATTGATTTTAAATTTCATTTATTGGGTTCTTGGGGAGAGGGATGGTGATATTGGTAACTACAGCAAAAGAAGCCGGGATGCAGTAGTTGCGGATGTATATCTCTCTTCTCAATTCATTTCTACTCCTGCGTTTGGCAAACTTCACTCCTCAAACTGTACTGTCAGGATCATCATTTTCTTTATTGCCTATTATATGAAACCCAACCCAAAACAAGTGGAAAAATACACCAAACTGGAAGTATAGAGGCCAGGTACCAGGTATCTTTCTGTGTCTACCTAGCCAGGTAAAGTTGAGCAAGTTTCATATCCTTTCTGGAGCCATTGTCTCTTCTTGAAAAGAATCAGTTGGCACTAGATGATATCAAAGTACATGTACTAAGACATCTCAATTAATTTTCAAGCCGTCCTATTTCTCGTCACCACCATGACCTTTTAGGCTTGTTTTATATTAGTTCTAAAACAGAGTATGTGTAGATACATAACTTTGTACCTGCACAATATTTCTGAAAATAAATTTTGAACCTTTTTGGTGGAGCCTCAACTCTCTAGTTCTCTGCTCTTTCACCTTGCATGTCCTCATCTTCCTTACCTTGCAGGTCCTAGAAGGGATTGAACTGCATCGCAGTCTACCTGCTGTTCTTTTGCACTGGCTTGGTTTTAATATGTATCTCCCTCTCTACCTCTCATGCTCCGCTCTCTTCACCTCTTTTTTTTTTTGGAAACTTCCTCAATGAAAGTCTCTTCTTTCAAGATCTGATTCATTATCATCTCTTTCAGGACACAGTATAGGAGTGATAGATTCTGGAAGCATCATTTTAGATTGAATTTACTAAAGTACTTTACTGATCATCAAGAATTATAGGATTCTAGTCCCAGGTCTGCCACAAACAACAAGGCCACTAGCTGCTTTGGGCCTCATTCTTCTACTTTTGTGTAATGACATGGAGATAGGGTAGGAGGTTGAAGTTTATCAGAGAATGTATATTCTCAAACATTTTCATGAGAAGGTAGAGCATACAAATAAGTGAGACAAGTCTGGGGTAAGATCATAGAGAATGCTGAAGGCTAAAAAGAGGCATTCCATTATTTCTTTTTAAAGTCATTTACATGCCAAGCTAAACATGCTTGCCAGTTGAATTCAAATCCCAGGCCTCTGATGTACAGGTTTTGAATTTCGGGGCCACTATAGTGCCTTTTCAATCCAGTATGCATCTTTGTCCTTCAAGTCTCTATTAGATTACATTGCAGTATTGTATGTTAATAGCAATTTTTTGTAAGATTTTTCTTAACCTGTTTCATCTGTTTTGACTCTTGACTCATATATTATGTGCATTCTTTATTCATTCTATAAGCCCCTATAACACCTACCACATGCTTCTTCCCACATCAATTCTCAGAAAAAGCTTGCTGAAATTTGCATTGAAGAGGGCAAGAAACTAAAACTTGGAAAGACCGTAGAAAAAATAAGAAAGAAGGGATGGAGGAAAAGTGTTTGAAACAGCATAAGAAACCACTGTAGAAGTGTAACCAAGGTATGGGGGAGCTGGTTCAGGAACTCTGCACAGGTCTTTGAGTCACATCAGAGCACAGGTTTCTAGAGCTAAGCTGAGCTAGGAGTCATCTGACCTAGTGTTTCCCGAAATGTGGAGCATAAGAAGACAGATGAGCTCCTTTTTATTATGATGGCTGGTCACTTTTATATACATTGGAAAAGTTGCTGTGTATTTTAA